GTGTGTGTGTGTGTGTGTGTGTGTGTGTGTGTGTGTGTGTGTGTGTGTGTGTGCGCGCGCGCGTAAGATCTTTGAATGTGGGAATAAACAGTTTTAGACTATGGGAATGTCTACATGGCAATCAAAAGGATGACTGTGAACATATGGACCTACCTGAGCTAGCTTTGATCTAGCTAGCTTGAATAACAATAGCATAGAAGTCCCAGCAGTATGAGCCAGCTGCTCAAGTACGTACCCACAGATGTACAACCCGTGCTGCTGCAGTTTCACTTCTATTGTTATTTGAGCTGCTTCGATCAAAGCTAGCTCTGGTATGGCTACACGTGCTGCAGTCACACATCTGATTGCAGTGTACAGGTACCCCAAGATGAGGCTAATTGGTTTGTAGAGTCCAAGACCCAGCACCTTGTGTAGTTGATTATAAGTGTGCAAAGTGTGTGCCAAGCAGGAGTAAAACGGTCCCACCAGTGTGACTGAGTGAAGAATTCTATGACTTTCTGTAATATTTTCTTCCTGCTTGGCACCAGTGGAGCTAATTGCAAGGTCCGGTCCTAAATGACTATATACGGTGCAAGGTGCATCAGTCCCTAAATCTTCATCTACCACAGATCAAAAAGGAGGAGGGATATGTAATTGATGAGGGTGACACAATAGGTGCCAGAGTTTGGAGTTTCTATTTTCATTGTTTAGTTTTTAAATGTTTGGGCTCTATATTACTATCAGATGGTCTGCTAGTGACCAGGAATAGTAGATTCACAGCTGTCTAAGACATATGAATTCTCAACTTGATATTTGATACTTTTCCCTTTTTCTTTCATTAACTGAGATCTGTCCTAAATGTTCTGGGTTTTTCGTACTTACCCTTTTTGAGTATTTGTAGGCACTTACAATCTCAGTAAAAGACAACAGATAGATACAGACAGACAGATAGGAAGTATAAGGAAACAATGAGACAACATTGGTCAGCATGCGAGACAGTGGTCTCTACCTAAGTGTTGTCAAGTTGTTGTTTTTTTGTAGGCATCAATGCAAAGAAGAGTTTTGAGGTGGTCTTTGAAGGCGGATAATGTAGCTTTTCCTTGCATGAAAAAGAGCTGTTCCCAAACATTCCTGTGAATGAAGACCCAATCACATGACTGCCTGTGAATAGGAAGTAACAAGGAGGTAGGGATGAAGCTAATGCTGCTGTGGATTTGCAACAAGTACTCGTGAGCAGTGCAGTATGTGGCCAGTCTTACCATAGGTCGTGCATCTCCAATACACATGCAGCACTGGAAGTGAGCAAGTGCCAAATGTCCGTCTGTTTAGGTACCTTCAGCCACAATGTAAACACAGACCTCCCTGTAGACTAAATAAATAAAATGATGGGAAAGGAATGCAGTTTATGTAGCTTGCAACTCTTATGATTTTGTCTTCGGTGTACTGCCCTTTTACATTTCTAAGGGGTCAATGACTGTAATTATTGCCTGGTCTCTGAACAGGCGAGTGAGACTGCACTGTGGAAGACCAGAGTAGGCCACAATTCATGAATGAGCATAGACTGTATTTACTGAAGGCAAGGAGCTCAGTGGTGAATAAGTGTGTGCTTGCCCATCCTGAGCACCAGAATGACATCCTGGAGGCAAATGAGGGAGGGGCAAAGGAAGTAAAATAGGGAATAATTACCACCAAAGACCACTAGGAGCAAAATAGTGCTATTGGGTTACGTATACGCAGCATGCCAGGGATATCCTTTATCCAACAAAAGCAGCATTACCAGCCCCTCTTGTCATCACCTGCTTAAGCCGACTGCTGAGCGGATACTATTAAAGCTTTAATCCATTACACATTTATGTTATGCCTGAGAAATTTATACCACAAGTGAGTGCTGAGCCCAGCAAGGGTCAAACCCGGGTTTGACACACTCCACTGGTTATTTTTCATACTCCAAAGAAACATTTCACTAAAGGGATTAAAAACAAGGGAGCAGCAGCTGATCCCCTGCAAATCTTGACCATGGTGATTGTCAGACCCTGGGAAATAGAAGGATCCACTGGCTGTTGTCCTTTCCTCCAGGGACTATTGCCCTTCTACCCATGTATCCCCTTTCTCTGTACACTGCAGCCACTGTTGATGAGGCTAGTGGAACTGAGGCTCGGGATACTGGCTTTACAAGATCTCACTTAAGAGATTCCATTGATGATTTCTAGAACAATTTTATTGGGCTTGTCAAGAGATGGAGTTTCACATTCTCCTTATGGATGGAAAGGAGAGGAATGAACGTGCAGCTTGTGCTTCAGGGCTGGGGTTTGTGTGAAAGGGGCAGCACATATTACTGTTATTCAGAGCAGTAACACTCAAAGTGTGACCCCAATGAAAGGGATCACATGGGAGTGACATGCTGCTCAGGATCTTAGATCTTTGGAGTCTGGCCCTGAATTTCTCATGGACCCTTAGCTACACACCACCTTCTGGCTCCCCCTCTCCACTGGCACCACCTCCCAAAGAGGCGCAGTTCATGTTTTTGCCCACTCATCAAGCCAACCAGGGGTTGTGTCAGATACATTCACATCGTGACTCCCATTGCAGCTAAACATGAGAGAGACCAAATCTGGCAATGCCCACTGAGACCACAATAGAAGACGCAGACATAGATCTCAACATAAACTTCTCAGCCAAAGATGGCACTAAAAATTGTCCGTTTCAATGTGGAGGGGTTCTCTGCGAAGAAGGCTGACATGCTATCTGGCATGAAAACAGATGTTGTGTGCTTGTGTTAGCCAAACACTTGCAACTGACAGATGGCAAGGCAACAGCACCAAACACTCCTGGCATGCATATAGCTGTGAACATCAAAAGCAACATTTATGGCGGCACAATACTTTTACGTGACAAAAGACTGGTGGAAAAACACTGCTGTGAAGCACCACGGTACAACAGCACTTATCAGGGCAGCAATTTCTGTTTACAAACCACCATGTGAACAGTTTGCATGGCCAACTGTCCTTCCACTGCTGTAAAACTATGTCTTGTCACAGGCGATTTCAACAGTCACAAAACCATCTGGGGATTCCCCAACAAAGGGGAAGAAGTTGAGAAGGGGGCAGCAACTAACAAGTTGACCTTGCTCTATGACTTCAAGGACAAATGTGCCTTCCAAAACACTGGATGGAACAAGGGGTACTATCCCAATCTAGCTTTTGTGACCTCTGAAAATGCCAGCAACTTCAGAAGGGAGGTTATGGCAATAATAGACTAGCGCAAGTGACATTAGAGGCTGCAGTGCAACCCAGGAAAACAAAGCACCTGCCAAGATTCTACTTCAGAAAAGCTTCCTGGGAAGGCTTCACCTTTGAACTGAGCACTATGTTCACTATGGCGAACTTGTCTCCCTGCTGTGAAAGAGTGCCCAAAAGTACATCCCGAGGGGATGTTGGACATTACGTACACCTGGGCTTTCAGAACAGGCAAGCCGACAATATAAGAGAGATTCAGAATTTTGTGGCCTGGATCCATTCAGTGAAGAAACCAGTGAGCTTATGAGAGAGATTGGAAATGAGCAGCACAACAGCTGAAGGGAGATGATTGAAACAATAGCAAAAAAAAAATGGGCCAACCAAGCTGCACACCAACTCATCCCAACCGACAAACCAGCCCACAAAGCAAAGGATAAAGCTAAACAAATCAAGCAGGAACTTTGCTAACTCCTCAGACAACAAAGTCCTCAATGAGCAGCTCAACACAGAGGAGTTGACCACAGCCATGAAAACCCTGAAAAGTGGAAAGGCAGCTAGTCTCGATGGTATAGCTAATGAATCACTGCTACACTTTGGGATAAGAGCACAGAATGACTAGGGTGAAGAGAATTTATCTTCTATGGGACACTTCAGATGGTTGCACATTTTGTTTGTCTTTTTAGCAGCTCTATAGAAATAGTGCAAAACACAACTGCTTCCACTCTATAAGAGAGCTATAAATGCCTTGATCTCTAACAGAATTCCCACTGGTGTCAAAGGCAGGTGCACATGTTCAGTGAAGGTGATCTGTTGCCTGTGAATGTGGCGGAAACCCTCAAGAACGAATGTCCTGCCGATAAGATAAACAAGATGTCACCTAAAAGGTTCTTTCCCTCGCTAACAGATGTGATTCTAACATTCAGTGTAGCTTGCAGTATGCAGCTGACAAAGTGACCATCTTAAAATAATGCAGCCCTAAGTTAAAACCAGGCTTCTTTTTGATTGTCATCAGGACAATTGTGGCTTTCGGGAATTGAAGTAGGACATCCTAAAACTTACATATTCGGGGCCAGACATTTCAGTAGAGCTCAGATCCTATTTCACCACTATTTCCTAAAAAAGTGGCTCAGCACTTGGCATTCAGCAGCTCCTGTTGAAAATCTGTCCATAAATTAACCCTTCCTTCCAGAAGTACTTTGAAACCAAATAAATAATTGGATTGGGTGAATTGTGGGAGAGCATTGTTTCGCAAGCACCTTTCCACTCTGCAAAGCAAGACTTGGATCAAAGATATGGACATCTGGAAAGATAACAAATATGGACATTTGACAGCCAGAAAGCAAAGCATGTCTGCTCCAGTTTCTCTCTCTCTCTCTCTCTCTCTCTCTTTCACACTCACACACAATGCAGCTTTTCATCCTTAAACTCCCAGCACATTTTTTATTTTAACTGTGACTGGGAAAAAATAGCATTAACCGCATCTGCAAGCAAAGTAGATCTCATCTGCCAATTCACCTATTTCTGTGATGCTTACCATTGTGGCACCAAGATACAATAAACTGTGATGCCAGATCAGTGGTAGCTGAAGGATGGAACAGACTGGCTTGTATAGCCCCTTATTGTCCGTGCTAGGGTTTCGCAGAGCTATTTATCATTATTATCAATTTATTTGTATTCTGGCAGCTCGCACAATGCATTAGGCACTGTTCACAGACAGACACACACAGATAACTCACCGAGGGGAAGCCGCTCCAGTAGGTAGAGGTAACTCTGAAAGAAATCTGTTCGTATGGCCTTGTGCAGGATAAAAGACATGCTGTGTCGACAGAGCTCCTCGTCCGTCTTGCGCCAGCGTGACTTAAAAGCTAAATGGGCTCCCTTACCATCCATGGTGATGATGGTTTATGGGATGGGGAGAGGGAATTGCTTGGATTGTGCTCTGAGTGGGACCTGTGCTTTCCAAGAGGCTGAGAGTGTGATTTAAACCAGGGCAGTCCTCTGTCATTCTATATTGGAGGGAGGGGGAGTGTCTGGGAATGGAGCGGGGAGAAGTGCTGGCTCTTAGCACTTGCTCAGAATAATCTCTCCAGTGTCACCCTCCTAAACTAGCAGCTGCTGGAAAGTGCTAAAAACCCAAACGGGATATTGCTTAGCCAGGGTAAAAGTATATGTGCTCCCAGAGGGATCGCTCTAATTTGATTAGTTTTTAAAATCTCTTTAGCTTTTACTTCAAAGGACCATGGCTGTTGAGCAGTGGCTTCCTCTCCCTCTTTGGCATATCGGAGGGTAATTTTTGTTTTTCAGGCTCTGGGTCACTTCCAAGCCACGTTTGCTATTCATTCCCCTGAGAAGCCAGGTCTTCCTGGCACGGCACAAAGTGGGTAGAGTGCAGCTGACTCTGGAGTGGCAGTATGGTCTAGTGGCCTGTGTCATGGGCTGGTATTAAGGAAATATGGGTTCTAATCCCAGTTCTACTGCTATGTGACCTTGGGCCACTCACTTTCTGTGCCTCCGTTTCCCATCTTGTCTATTTAGACTGCAAGCTCTTCAGGGCAAGGGCTTTCTCTAACTATGTGTATGTACAGCACCTTGTACAATGGGGCCCTGATCTGAGTTGGAACCTCTAGGCTCCACTATAATATAATTAATACATCTCACCTACACTAGGGTAAATCAGGAGTAGTTAAACTGGTGTAAAATCAGTGCAAGTAAGAAGAGAATCAGGCCCTTGCTACAGTGCCCAAGTTAATTAAAAAATAAATGAATGGAGTTAACACCAAGTAAAGGGTGAGAATTTTAAATACACAAAAATGAAGGCAGTTGTCCAGCCAGTTTCCTTTTGGAGCCCGTGATGCTGCAGGGCCCACATGATTTCTGCCCCTTTGCACACCTGCATTACAGGCCTTGTTCTGCCCCTTTGACATCAAAGGAAAGTTTTGTCACTGAGTTCAGGATTAAGCCCAGCAATCGGGGTTTCCATTTTATGACCATTATATGCACGCGATTAACTCAAATTAATTGTTATTAAGAAAATTAATCATGATTAATCACACTGTTAAACAATAGAATACCAATTGAAATGTATTAAATATTTTTGGATGTTTTTCTACATTTTCAAATATATCAATTTCTATTACAACACAGAATACAAAGTGTACAGTACTCACTTTATATTATTTTTTGTTACAAATATTTGCACTGTAAAATGATAAAAGAAATTGTATTTTTCAGTTCACCTCATACAAGTACAGTAGTGCAATCTCTTAATCATGAAAGCGCAACTTACAAATGTAGGTTTTTTTGTTACATAACTGCATTAAAAAACAAAACAATGTAAAACTTTAGAGCCTACAAGTTCACTCAGTCCTACTTCTTGTTCAGCTGATTCCTAAGAGAAACAAGTTTGTTTACATTTATGAGAGATAATGGTGCCCACTTCTTAATTACAATGTCACCTGAAAGTGAGAACAGGCGTTTGCATGGCACTGTTGTAGCTGGCATCGCAAGATATTTATGTGCCAGATGCGCTAAAGATTCTTATGCCTCTTCATGCTTCAGCCATTGTTCCATAGGAGATGCTTCCATGCTGATGATGCTCGTTAAAAAAATAACGCATTAATTGAATTTGTGACTGAACTACTTGGGGGAGAATTCAGTCTTCTGCTCACTTTTATCTGCATTCTGCCATATATTTCATGTTATAGCAGTCTCGGATGATGACCCAGCACGTGTTCGTTTTAAGAACACTTTCACTACAAATTTGACATAATGCAAAGAAAGTACCAATGTGAAATTTCTAAAGATAGCCACAGCATTAACCCAAGGTTTAAGAACCTGAAGTGTCTTCCAAAATCTGATGAGGGACGAGGTATGGAGTATGCTTTCAGATGTCTTAAAAGAGCAACACTCCAATGCGGAAACTAGAGAACCCAAATCATCAAAAAAGAAAATCAACCTTCTGCTGGTGGCCTCTGATTCAGATGATGAAAATGAACATGCATCGGTCCGCACTGCTTTGGATCCTTATTGAGCAGAACCCATCATCAGCATGGATGCATGTCCTCTGGAACGCTGGTTGAACCATCAAGGGACATATGAATCTTTAGCGCATCTGGCACGTAAATATCTTGTGATGCCAGCTACAACAGTGCCATGCAAATGCCTGTTCTCACTTTCAGGTGACATTGTAAACAAGAAGCGGGCAGCATTATCTCCTACAAATGTAAACAAACTTGTTTGTCTGAGCGATTGGCTGTACAAGAAGTAGGACTGAGTGCACTTGTTTTACGTTGTTTTATTTTTGAATGCAGTTTTTTTTACATAATTCTATATTTTTAAGTTCAACTTTCATGATAGAGATTGCTCTACATTACTTATATTAGGGGAATTGAAAAATACTATTTCTTTTGTTTTTTTTACAGTGCAAATATTTGTAATCAAAAATAAATATAAAGTGAGCACGGTACACTTTGTATTTAGTGTTGTAATTGAAATCAATATATTTGACAATGTAGAAAACACCCACAAATATTTAAATAAATGGTATTCTATTATGGTTTAACAGCACAATTAATCGCGCAATTAATTTTTTTAATCGCTTGACAGCCCTAGCAGTAAGTAAAATAGACGTGTCTGTGTGTGCACACGCACAGTGCCGGGATGGGTTTTCCATCAAAATCTGTCACACCACAAAGCAGTAAAGGTACTTAAGAACATAACATAAGAACGGCCATACTTGGTCAGACCAAAGGTCCATCTAGCCCAGTATCCTGTCTTCCGACAGTGGCCAATACCAGGTGCCCCAGAGGGAATGAGCAGAACAGGGAATCATCAAGTGATCCATCCCCTGTTGCTCCTTTCCTGCTTCTGGCAAACAGAGGCTAGGGACACCATCCCTGCCCATCGTGGCTAATAGCCATTGATGGACTGATCCTCCATGAATTCATCTAGTTCTTTTTTTAACCCTGTTATAGTCTTGGCCTTCACAACATCCTCTGGCATAGAGTTCCACAGGTTGACTCTGCGTTGTGTGAAGAAATACTTCCTTTTCTTGTTTTATAGCTGCCTGTTAATTTCATTTGGTGACCCCTAGTTTCTTGTGTTATGAGAAGGAGTAAATAACACTTCCTTATTTATTTTCTCCACACCAGTTATGATTTTATAGACCTCAGTCATATCCCCTCTTAGTTGTCTCTTTTCCAAGCTGAAAAGTCCCAGTCTTATTAACCTCTCCTCATATGGAAGCCGTTCCATACCCCTAATAATTTTTGTTGTCCTTTTCTGAATCTTTTCCAATTCCAATATATCTTTTTTGAGATGGGGCAACCACCTCTGTATCCAGTATTCAAGATGTGGGCGTACCATGGATTTATATAGATGTAGTATGATATTTTCTGTCTTATTATCTATCTCTTTCTTAATGATTCCCAACTTTCTGTTTGCTTTTTTGACTGCCACTGCACATTGAGTGATGTTTTCAGAGAACTATCCACAGTGACTCCAAGATCTCTTTCTTGAGTGGTAACAGCTAATTTAGACCCCATCATTTTATTTGTATAGTTGGGATTATGTTTTCCAATATGCATTACTTTGCATTTATCAACATTGAATTTCAGCTGCCATTTTGTTTCCCACTCACCCAGTTTTGAGAGATCCTTTTGTAGCTCTTCACAGTCTGCCTGGGACTTAACTATCTTGAGTAGTTTTGTATCATCTGCAAATTTTGCCACCTCACTGTTTACCCCTTTTTCCAGATCATTGATGGACTGTTGGTTGGTTGAGGGAAGGAAAGAAGTGGGCATTGCAGCAACAAGGCCCTGATATGTAGTTGATAGGTCAGGGGGCTGGTAATCAAGAGAGCTGGGTTCTATTGTTGGCTCTGCCACTGTCTTGAAGTGTGATCTTCGGCAAGTTACTTCACAGCTCTGTGCCTCACTTTGTCTGTAAAAGTGGGATACTACCACCTACCGCCCAGGGATGCAATGCAACTCATGTAATGGTTGCAAAGTGCTTTGAAATCCTCAAAGGAAAGAGGCATAGTCAGAGGTCAGTGTTTAACAGGATGGGCCAAATTTAGACCTGGTGTAAGCAGATGCTGCTCCACTGCTTTCAATGAAGTTGCACTTGCTTACATTAAGGACCAGTCTACCCTGACGGGTTTAACTGGGATAATTACCCCAGCCCAGCCCAGAGACCTTGCTGCCCATCTGAGAGTATTCTTATGGGCTTCTGATATGTAGGCAGCTGCTGAAATAACCCAGCTCACATCCAGTTCCTTGTTTACATGGGAATTGCACTTGTGTCACTTCAGCGAGAATGGGACCCTCTGTAACGTAGCCCCAAATGTCTCAGACCAGGATCATCCCTAGTGTAACTCCCTGGACTCCATCCCAGGGATGAAAGACTCTTCATGGATTTTTTTTTTTGTCATTTTTGGCCCCGCATTGGATGGTGTCCCAGTGACAGCAGTTCTACTGCCTTGGAGGGACATTGGATAAGGTCATTGTGCAGCTGATAAAAGAAGCTACTTAATAGCTCAGAGCTCATCTGTTCTGAACTGACACATCTCTTTACGCCTCTCTGGATTGGCAAAATCCATTTGTGCAGCAAGGTGACCGCTCCATTAAATATAACGGTACTTCCAGGTTCCTGCCAGGCTTAGTCTAGGCTTGGAATGGCATCAGGGCAGAATGCTGTGTGTTTCCCAGGGGAATACTGACCCTGTGGGAACCTTAACCTAGAGTATCCTGGACAGTTTAGTCTATAAAATCTGTTATGACATTAAATTCATAGGCCCACAATACGCATTGTTCTCCCCACTTCCTCATGGAAGTGAGATCCAGCCACCTCTGAGGCGTTGTTCCTACACTCTCCTCTGGGCTCCATGAAAGCTTCTTCATAGGGTCCAAGGTCTGTGACTTCTAGGAAGCTACACTGGTTTACACTAGCTGAGGATCTGGACG